GAGCAGCTGGGTGAGCGGGGCCGTTAAAGGCTTAACGACCTCTGCCGTCTCTTCGACTCGCGCTGGGGCGGCCGCGAGTTGCTCCAACTTTCTCTGGAGATCTCTGGATGTACCTGGATTTTTACGTGGATGTATCTCGATGTACCTGGATTTACCTGGATTTATGTAGTTTTATTTGCGTTTACCTGGATTTAGCTGGCCCCATCCCCACAAGTCGATTGGCGAAAAGTCGACAAGCCCTTAGGGACGGGGGGCGGGGCCCTCAGCAGCCGGGAGCAACCCTCGAAGAGCGCGCGGCCGCCGGCGACGCGCGCGCCCGCGCGGCAGCGCCGCGCCAGCGCGCGCCGCAAGCCGCGCGATGCTGCGGCCAGCGGTGCTCCAGGCCCCCCGGGTCGGGCCGAGATGTAGCCGTTCGGCAGCCTCGAGACGGAGGTCAATGCAAACGGGGGTCAGCCAGAGCGCCCGATCTTGCAGGACCCTGTAGGGCCAGGGTCGCACTGACCCCGGTTTGGGTGCAGGATCCTGCAGGATCTTGCAGGATCTTTCGCGTTGACCAGGGTTTGGGTGCAGGATCTTGCAGGATTTTGCAAGGCCTGACTGACCCGGGTCTGGACTGACCCGGGTCAGCAGGTCCCCGAGCCGTCGGGCAGGGGCGCGCGGGGAACATCGCGAGGTGAGCGACCTCGTCCTCGGACGAGCGCCCTGCCATCTCGCCAGGGGAAAGAAAACCACCCGGACCCGGCAGTCGGCGTTTATTCCACGGCCCTGGGCGTTTACGAAACAGCCCTGCCCTGGTCGATTCCTTCTGTGGCCGCGCTTCCCAAACGGCTTCGCGTGCCGGGGTGCTTCTTCTGGGGGTGGATTGTTTGATTTCTAATTCGTTCACTCCTGGCAGCGTCGCGCATCCCCACCAGCTCATCTTGACGCAACTGCTGGGCGAGTTGCCCTGATCTGTGAAGTGTGGGAGCCCAAGTTGGAACAGAGGTGAGTCAGAGAGAGCGAGAGGGAGAGAGCAAACAAAAATGTTAAACCAAAAGGTGTGATCAACTGAGTTGACCCATGAGTAAGTCATGCATGCCTTGGCGGCTCCTGCTTTTCGCAGGAGGAGGGAGAAGAGCGAGCAGAAGAAAGAGGAACACGATGGAACACGTTCCCACTCAACTCGTGGTGCACCACAGGTGCGAGGAAGAAGAGGAGGAGTAGGCAGGGGAGGGGAAGGAAGAGGAGATGGAGACGGAGGAGGAGGAGGAGGAGGAGGAGGAGGTAGGAGGAGGAGGAGGAGGAGGAGGAGGAGGAGGAGAGGAGGAGGAGGAGGAGGGAGGAGGAGGAGGAGGAGGAGGAGGAGGAGTAGGAGGAGGAGGAGGAGGAGGAGGAGGAGGAGGAGGAAAGGTAGGATAGGGTAGGAAAGAGACGACGACGACAGGAGGCTGTTTCGCTCTGGGAGCTCCAGAGGCCTCTTGGAGCCATCTTGAGGCCCCCTTGATGGAATTTGAAATGCTTTCGGAACCCTCTTGGAGGTCTCTTGGAGCCTCCAGGGAGCCTCGGGGGTCCTCTTGGGCCATCATGGATTTCATCGATCAATGAAGGGGTCATCCAATTAGCGTTGCGCCTCTTGGGACCGAACGCTAGCCTCTGGGGCCCGAAAAGTAGTCCCTTGGGGCCCTTTTGGGCGCACTTGGCGCCGTAGTGGGGCCTTTTAGCGGTATTGGAGTTATCCCGAGGCCTGCGATGCCCACAGGACGAGAGAAGGCGAGAAGGCAAACATCATTGAACAACCGTGAGTTATTGAAGGTCTTCGGTCTCTCTGGAGCATTATTGGGAGTCTCCGAGGCCGCTTGGAGCCGTCTTGGGGCACTCTTGGGGCTCACTACTGACCATATGTTGCCGCCTTGGAGGCTGTCCTACGGCATCTGGGGGTACCTTGGAGACGTTTTGGCCAACAGCCTCCCAGGGATGCCCCCCTCCCCGACATGCTCAAATCCGTCCAACACATTGATGTTGAAAGGGGACGGTCCTCAATTAGGCTCCCCCCCGTCGGTGCCCGAACGTTCGCATCGTGGAGCCCTCTTAAGGTGTTTTTGTGATTCTCGTGGAGCCATATTGGGCCTCTTCTGGGCCCCTCTTGGGCCTCTCTTGGCGTTCTCGGGATCACGCCGCCTCGGAGGACCATTGGACGCCAAAAGGGGAGACGCCAGGACTCGCTGGATATCCCTAGGTTGTTCAATAGGTTTGGGTCTCTCTGGGGTTTCCTTGGGAGGCTTCGTAGCCACTTGGAACCTTCTAGGAGGCATCCTGGAAACCATCTTGGACTATAGTGTGCCATCTACAAGGCGGAATTGAGCATCTGGGATCCACAGTGGGGCCAGCTTGAATGCTTGGGCCACTCGACAGGGGAGCCATCCACACTCAAGGAAGGGGGTGTGGGGAAGCGATCGAGTTCCCGAGGAGCATGCCGCAAGCTGTCTTGGAACCCCCCCCCGCCCGCCGGATCACCCGAGACTCAGCAAAAGGCAGAGGTCGCTGCACGCCGGGTGCGCGCCGCTCGCGAGGTGGTGCGCCGCGCGCACCAGGTGCGCCGGGTGCCCCGGAGGGCCAGGAGTGCTGGATGCGCCTGGTGCACCAGAGTGCCCCACGTGCTCCGCAGGTGGGTGCACCGCACTCTCGATGCACCGGGTGCTGGTTGCAGCAGGGAGCCCGCCCCATTGGTCGCCGCAAGGCCGCCAGCGTTCGCCGCCAGGCTCGCGGCCCCCTGTTGAAAGGACCCACGCCCGAGGGTTTCGCATGCCGTCCCGCCGGGGGGACTCCATCCATCCACCCATCCGCGGGCACCGGACCTGGTGTGCCACATGCTCCAGCCGCGCCAGGTGCACAGCGTGCGCAGAGTGCGCCAGGTGCGCCGGTGCACGCGGCGTTACATCTCGGGCAATATGTCGACGCCCCCCCGCCGCTCCTGTCAAACACCACTGCCAAAGGTGGGCGGGGTGGTCAGCATGGTGCAGGATGTGTGCGCCCAGCATCAGCTGGCACTGCCTACTGTAGGGGTCCTGGCCCAGCGCACAAGGGACACTTACACGTAACACCCGCCATCCCTGTCAAAACCAATGCAGCATGCTCGCGGGGTGCCCGCTCATACTTCAGATGTTGCAGCCACGTGCGCTCTGCATGGTTTGGGGAGCGGGGGCGGCGGGGGCCACATTTTTCTTTGCCAGAGACCAGTTAACTTTGAGAAGGGGTGTTCATGTATTGCCTTGGCGACGTCCCCGATCCATCTGCAGCAAGTGACCAGCATGGTGGACCAACTGGTTATGTGCGGATGATGGCATGGCAAAGAACACGATTCGTGGTGAAATCTACGCGGGAGGCTCACGCGATGCACGACTCACGGGAGACACTTAAGCGGAGCAGTATCAGGAAAAGGCATGGAAAGGAGAAGACGGAACGACAACGATGATCACGAGAGAACGTGAGGTGGACATGTGAAGGAACAAGTGGAACACGGGCGCGCGGGGAGAGGGAGTGTGAGGAGAAGATGAATACGCAGGGGCGGAATAAGGGGATTATGCAAAGGAAACCAAACATACACTCATCTTGGGCAAAAGATCTTTGGATGAGAGAGGCACAGCTAGTTAGAGAGGGAGGGAGGGAGAAGGACAAGGGAGGGAGGAAGGGTGAGGGATGCAGGAGGAGGAGGAGGAGACGAAGGAGGAACAAATATTAGGGCAAGGATAAGAGAATACCTGAGGGTGGGACCAAGAGCTAGTCCGTTGCCCCCCACCTGCTCTCTTCCTCCTCCTCCTCCTCCTCCTTCTCCTCCTCCTCCTCCTCCTCTTCCTCCTCCTACTCCTCCTCCTCCTCCTCCTCCTCCTCCTTCTCCTCCTCCTCCTCCTCCTCCTCCCTCCCCGCCTCGTCCCCAGAGATCATGTGGCGGCCCAGTAGCTATGCCGAGATTTCATGCCAGGCCCCCGGATACCAGGACACAGATAAACCAGGACACGGAAAACCACAGAAACGATTTTTTCTGCAAGGTTATAATTTCAGCACCCGTGCATGTTTTATTTGCTGCGCTGCATGATGCGGGTTTCTGTCCGGACTTAGGGGGTCTTGCAAGCTTGTCGGGTTAGTGCCCGGGTTTTGGAAGTGATGCAGTGCAGTATTTTGCTCGTGCCGCCGTCTGGAACAATTGGTTTCGAGGGGTGTTAGGTGTCCGGTTTAGCGTGTCCGGTTTTACGGGGCCTTGATCTTTCTGGTCTGGGTAGCACCGTATTGCTCCTGTTTCCACAAGAGCCTATTGAGGTGGCTACTGTCGTAGTTCGCACGCCACAGGGCGCAGGGATGGCGAGGTTTGTTTCTGATCTTCATAACACCGCTCTTCGCTGGACCCCCCAAAAGTGACGGCGAGGTCCCAGTCTGCTCACTGGTCTGGGCAGGGCCGCACTATGCTGGACCCCTCAGGGGCCGCCCACGAAAGTTGCAACAGTTTCGCAGCGCGCAGGCTACAGGGGTGGCGAGATCCCATTCTGATCTGAACCGCACCACGCTGCACTGGACCCCACAGGTGCGACGGCGAGGTCTCATTCTGGTTTAGGCTTATGATGTTCCAACTTACTTTAGCTTTGACCACCAGAAAGAATTTCAGCACCAAGGAAGTACCGAAACTGGAGGGTTTTCGCGTACTGGGCCCTGGGAGGCGATACCCGTTCGACACGGTTTCGGTACTATTCGGGGTGCTCGAAATTATGTTTCGGATTAGGTCCTTAAGAACGATGGGATCGGAGGTTGACCCTCCTATCCTGACACGTCGATTAGCGAATTGGCTGTTTCCGGCTCGCGAGAGGGCGTCGCGGCCGTCATTCTTGCGGGTCCAGGTCCGCCGGTTTCGGCCCCAGGCCGTTTTCACGAAAGAGGTGTTTTACGAAAGGGAGGTCTGTCCACCGCCGATGGGAGCAGATGGGAGCAGCATGAGTCCTGGGCAGGGCCGTGCTGCGCTGGAACCCCCCCAGGAGCCCACGAGAGCGGCATCCGCTGCTTCGTATCCCTCAGGAGGGAAAAAAAACACAGACACAATGAATCGTCGATCCCCCAGAAAATATAGGAAAATATGGGAAGTGGGCGGGAAGATAAAAACCCAGAAAAAATGGGAAATCATGAGGAGTCTTTTTATTTGTGTGTATTTATTTGTGTGTCCTGGGGCCCCTTCGCATCCCGCCGTCCCCGGGGACGGCGGCGTCTCACTCCGGCCTAGGCCCCTGGGCAGCACCGCACTCCGCGGCCCTCCCCCCCCCCCCCGGGAGCCGACGAACATGGCGACGGCCTCGACAGCTCGCAGTCCCCAGGGTTGAGTCGGGCCTATCCCCTCTACAGGAGGAGTGTTCAAAAACAATAATCATAAATGGCCTGGGGATGATTTTTGTAATCGGTTCTACAATTTCTCCAACTGTTTTGACGGTTTTTTATCTTTCGCCCAAAATCCGCCTGTAGGGGGACATGCCCGACCTATCCCCAGGGAGGGCGAAGTATCGTTCTGGTCTGTGCAGCCCCGCGGCTACGCTGAAACCCACTGGAGCCCGCGGAGGTGGCGACCGTTCTGCAGTGCGCAGTCCCCAGTGACGGCGAGGTCCCACTTTGGTCTTGATATCACCGCATCGCGCTGGACTCCTTTGGAGCCCACGACAGTGGCGACAGTTTCAGAGCTCGCAGTTCCCAGGGACGGCGAGGCTTCATTCTGGCCTTGCCAGCACCGCATTGCGCTGGACCCCCCAGCGGCCCGCGAGAATCGCGACAGTATCGCAGTTCGCAGGCCCCGGGACGGCAAGGTCTCATTCAGAGTTGGGGAGCACCGCGCTGCGTTGGACACCCCAGGAACCCAAGAAAGTGGCGACAGTGCCGCAGGTCGCAGTCACCAGGGACGGCGGGGTCTTATTCTGGTTTGGGCTGGACCGCACTGCGTTGGACCTCTCAGGTGCCCGCGGAAGTGGTGACAGTTGCGCAGTTCGCAGTCCACAGGGACGGCGAGGTCTCAGTCTGGTCCGAGTAGCACATCACTAAGTTGGACCTCCCAGTAGCCCACGAAAGTGGCGACTGTCTCGCGGCTCGGAGGCCCCGCACGGAGCCCCCCTCGGCCGTGAGACAGGAGGCGCCCAAGAGGCAGGCAGGAGGCACGAGGCAGACTTCAGGTACGGTCGGACTGAGGTATAAGACTGAGGTCAGCTCGGGACGTGTACCCCATTGTTCTTTGTATCTGGTTGGTATTATTGTGCATCCTGGGGAGGGTACCCTCTGATGTTCTCGGTGTGTGTTGGCTGGCGGAGATTCTCAAAGCTCTTCGAGGGTGTTGCTGTGCCCTGTATCCGATCGTGAGGAGGCAGAGCGGTGGCGAGCAGAAGGGAGGCGGGACGGGAGCATGCGGCAGTGCTCTACAGTCGGTGCCCTGAAGAAGGAACCCTTTTCGTTGGGGAGGGGCTCCATGTTCCTTGATTGTTTCACTGCTTGCCTCAGGTTTTCCTTATGTTTTCGACAGGAAATCGAAGGTTAACTTATGGAAAAAAAGTGGCCTCGTTCCTTATTTGGGGTTCCTTAGGTCAACGCCCCGACTGTATTCAAGATAGGAGCCCAAAGTATGAGGATGGGGAATGATCGCCGCTCGGCGAGAGCAGGTATTTCTGTATTCCCAGATCCCAGTCTACGGCGCCTTCCTACTGCAAGAGTCAAGTGGGATTCCCTGTGCCATCCTGCGTTGTGTTTCACGTGTTCCTGTCGACCGACGGGCAATGATCAGTCGTAACCCGCTCCCCGAAGAGGAAGAAGGGGGCTGGAGGAGGAAGTGCTCTCATTCACCTATGCTCAGAGGGCTGGTGGGATTTCCCGTGGTGGGTATCTCTCCAGGGAGGTTCTCAGAGACCCAGACACGTTTACCATTTACCGAGCCTCCTGATCCTGAAACCGGGCCAGAGCATCGCCACCGCGTCGCCATTGCATCGGCGGTGCGGCTCCATTCAGAGAGCTACTCCTCGTCCTCCTGCTCCTCCTCGTCCCTCGTTTTTTTCTGTGCCTCCAGGGGCGCTCGTGGCCGCGGCAAGGCGCAGTTCGAAGCCATGGCCAGGATGGGCCCCGCGGGAGGTGTCCCGAGACCGATTTGGACCGGCTTCTCGTTCTGTCCGCCCCAGCGCCGCCGCTCCATCGGTGATGCGTCGGCGATGCGGCGGTGCGGTGTGGCACGGCCTCAGGCTGCGCACGGATCGCCCCCAGAGGTAGTCCCAGGGGTTCCCTCTCGGGCGCTGCGTGCTGGGGAGCCGTGGACGGGGGAGGCGAAGGGAGGTGCGCCCTCAGGCCCTGCGCGAGCCGTGGGGGCCCGAAAGGGCCACTTCCTACTCCCCCTCCTCCTCCTCCCCCTCCTCCTCCTCCTCCTCCTCCTCCTCCTCCTCCTCCCTCTCCTCCTCCTCCTCCTCCTCCTCCTCCCCCTCCTCGTCCTCCTCCTCCTCCTCCTCCTCTTCCTCCTCCTCATCCTCCTCCTCCTCCGTCCCCTCCTCGTCGTCCTCCTCCTCCTCTTCCTCCTCCTCCTCCTCCTCCTCCCTCCTCTTCCTCCTCCTCCTCCTCCTTTTCCTCCTCCTCCTCCGTCTCCTCCTCGTCCTCCTCCTCCTCCTCCTCCTCCCTCCTCCTCCTCCTCCTCCTCCTCCTCCTCCTCCTTCTCCTCCTCCTCCTCCTCCTCCTCCTCCTCCTCCTCCTCCTCCTCCTCCTCCCCTGGGGCCCAACGGGGCGCGAAAGGTACACGTCGCCTCGCCCTGCGCCTCTGGCGCCACCCCCACTGAGCAGCGCCCAAGCCTCGGCCAAGCCCCCCCCCAACAAAAAAAAAATTGGCAGTCCAGGGCGGCCCTGGCGCTCCACCCCTCGGGCGCCCGAGGCGGCGCGCCTTGGATGCCGAGGCCCCGTCTCTGGACGTATGTTCGGGGGCCCGCGAGCCATGCGGGTGACCGCGCCGTGCGGTGTGCCAGTGGGGTTTCGGGGTGCCCGCACGCTTCGGGGGCCCCCAAACTGTGGAGTTGCCTCACCGCGGGTGAGTCATTCGACACTGGGGGTTTTCGGACCTTGTCGTCGGTTCCTGCAAATCTCTTCCTTGCCTGGGATGCGTTCCAGCGGCTGCGCCTCGCCGCGAGCGTTCCAGGGGTGCCCAGATCGTCCCGAACGGCCGCCGGAGACCCGAGGTATGGCCCAGAAACCAAACACTCGGTGGAGGGCAGGTGTGGTGAGTCAGTGGGGGTTCGGGGTGACCGCACGGCTTGTCACCGCACCGTTTTGGAAGCCCCGGACTGCCCTGCGGGGTTGCGGAGGCCAGCCTGAGCGGCCCCCCGGGGGCTGTTTGCGCGCAGCCCGGGCCTCCGACGTCGTGGTGCGCAGCCCCAGGCCTCGCCAATATGAGGCAGATCTGGCGGCTCGATCTTCTCTTGGAGGCCGAGCTGTGGGTCCCTTCCCTTGGAGCTGGCTGCTCGTCCACAGTCTTGGGTATGGTGTGATGGTCCTGGGGCCCGAATTCGAGCCTCCAGGAGAGACCACGGCGCAGAAAGCCAGCAGCGCCGACTTTTATCTCGTGGCGCTCGGCGGTCTGGGTCCGGGGGATGATTATTCTTGTGCGCAGCCTGCAGCATTGCCCTGATCAGGTCAACAACCGGGCCCTGGAGCCTTCCCCGGACATGTGCTGGCCAGTGTTTGGGTTGACCCAACAGGGGGTCCAGCGACAAGGAGGTGGTGCATTCAATTGAGTTGGTGCTATAGCTTTGTGGGGTTGCAATACATTTGGGGCGTGCAAGACATTCCAGGGCGCAAATGTATTGCTGGACTTTCGCGTGCAATGCATTACTTGCAACACAATGCAACAACATTCTCCGGCGCAATACATTTGCAAGACAATTGCCCCAAATCTATTGCACCACCCCCTTTCAGCTGGACCTCCTTGTGGGTGTGCTTGAAGTGTGTCGAGCGGCGCCCAGCCGCGGCGACGAGAACCTCACGGAATTCCACCAAGACAGGTGGATCGCCGACGCCGACGCCGGCGTCGTCGACGCCGTCGGTGCGTTGCGACCCTCCGACCAGGTCTCCCCTGTGGAAGACAAGCGAACGAATACATAACCAGAAGCTTGTTCAGAGGATTGGCGGGACTCCGAGGGGTGCTGTTTACAGTCGAGTCTGATTACGTAGTAGGTCAGCCCTGCCCGAGCAGGGGTGCTCTTGTGTCCTGTGTTTCGCGACCCATGCCGCCAATGTTCCACCGGCAACGTGGCCATCGGAAGGGTCTCGTGTCCTCTCGCGTGTCCAGGGGAACGAAGAGTGACACTCGGCGCTGGACCCCCTTCCCCGGCGCGCGGAGCGCGCCAGGGGCGGCGCCGGAGGCGCCGCCAGGGCGGTCCAGCGCCGATGCGAGAAATCCGCACGGACCCCCGAGTTTTCATGTTCATGTCATTCTTCGTTCCCCTGGTGCCCCCCCAACCGACTTCGACGGGATGGGAGGGCTCCAGTGGACAAGCGCACGCTGGCGCTAGCACGCGCCCTCGGGATTGTCGGGGGATGATGCCTCTGTGATAGGAAGGCACCAACTATACACCAACACCGATCCGCACGGACCTCCGAGTTTTCATGTTTATGCCATGCTTCGTTCCCCCGGGTGCCCCCCCCCCACCGACTTCGACGGTGTGCTGCTCCGCGCACGGGCGCCGAGGCCCCGCGGGCGGCTCCCAGGCCGCCGAGGCGCGGAGAGGCCTCGGCCTCGAGGAGCCGGCGGCGCCCCACGGGGGGGGGGGGCGCCAGGCGGGCGGCCTCGTGAGAGGAGCCGCTGGGCGAGAAGGGCCCCTCCCGCGCGTGGGCAGTACGTTTCAGTCGGGCGTGTCCGTCTACGGGAGGAATACTCAAAGATAAAAAGGCAAAATTGTCGCGTGACGATTGGTTTTGCCATTTTGGAGCATTTTGGGTGAATTGTTCTTCTTCGTTCAAAATCCCCCTGTAAGGGGGACATGCCCGACTTAACAGCAGTACGCTCGAACCCTGCGGCGCAAGATGCCCCCTGCGGACCCCCGAGAGGACTCATTATGGAGGGTCAAATTTCAGGCTGCGTCTCGTAATTTTCATGATGGCCCCCGTCAGGCCAATCCGAGTCCCCCGTACTCGTGTCTTACGTCTCCCCGGCAGTGGGTCGATCCTGCCAAATCAAGGATGCCCTGGTGTCCTGTGTTTCGCGACCCATGCCTTCGTTTGTCATCCCTGTGGCAGCGTGTCCCGCGGATGGGTCTCGTGTCCTCTCGCGTGTCCAGGGGAACGAAGAGTGACATCACAAAAACTCTGAGGTCCGCTCGGATTTCTCAGATCGGCGCTGGAACCCCCTCCCCGGCGCGCGGAGCGCGCCAGGGGCGGCGCCGGAGGCGCCGCCAGGGCGGTCCAGCGCCGATGCGAGAAATCCGCGCGGACCTCCGAGTTTTCATGTTCATGTCATTCTTCGTTCCTCTGGGGTCCCCCCAACCGACTTCGACGGGATGGGAGGGCTCCAGTGGACAAGCACGCGCTCTCGGGATTGTCGGGGGATGATGCCTCTGTGATGCGAGGCCCCGGCCGCCTGTCCGGGGCTGCCCCCCGCCCTTGGCCTCGGCCAAGGGCGCTTGGTGGAGGATTCCTTGAAGCCGCCGGGCCCTCCGAGGCAGGAGGAGGAGGAGGAGGAGGAGGAGGAGGAGGAGGAGGAGGCTTCTGAGAGGCCCCCCCGCCTTCTCAGAAGTCAAGCAGTGGCGAAGCGTCCTGGCGCGCCCACAGGCCCAGCAAGGATTGTTCTAAGAGCCTGTTAGGGCCTGCACGTCGTGTTCTTACTGTATACCGTCCCTGGCTGAGATTGTCGTGCTCTAACACGTCGGGCTCACGTTCTAACAGCAGTGTTTGTGTTATGCTGACATTTTCTGGTTCAAAGAACATCTCGTGGTAGGTCTGTAGGAGTGCCGGGACGGTCGGTCCCTGCTCAGCTTCCGCCTTCTCAGAAGGCCGCCCCCCGTTGCGCCATTCCCTCTGTGGGCGCCGCCGAGACATTTGGACCTGGCCCGCCTGCCTCGGGAGCCCCCCCCCCGCCCTCGAGCCTTGCGCAACTGGGGGGGGGGGCGGCATGGGAGCGTGAGGGACGGTGCACCTTTCGTGCACCTTGCGGAAAGCCCAAGGGAGGCCCCTGGGGCCTAAAGGGGGCCCGAACGCTGCACGCTTCTTCGCGTCCCCCCGTTTGCAGCCGAGTTTGATTAGAAGGCCGACCCTGCCGAATCAAGGGTACCCTGGAGACCTGTGTTTCGCGACCCATGCCTTCCACATTCCTCTGGCAGTGTGGCCCTCGAGAGGGTCAGCCACGCGCAGAAGGTGGGTCTTAGAAGCACCCCTGCTTTTTAGAAGATGCGTGCCGTATCTGTAAGTGTAGTTAGGGCCAGCGCCTCCTAAGAAGCAACCTCTTCTAAGAAGTCTTCCCCCCTCCCTGCACACCCTTGTGCGCGCCGCCAGAACGGTCTCGTGCCCCGGCGTGAAGCAGGGGCGGCAGGCGCGCCTGAGTCGAACAGTTAGGCCACGACAGGCGGCGCAGCCGCTCTTTCATTCAGCATGGCAAGGGCGATCGACGAGCGTTCAGGAGGCCACGATGGGGTGAGACGGGGACGAGCAGAAGGGGGGGCGACGGGGGAGAGACGACGGAGATCAGACTCCACTGCGCCGCCCCCCCGTCGGTCTGGCAACGCCCAGCCCCCAGGTGCAGGGGCAGGCCGCGGCGCCCGACTGGCGGCGCACCGCGGCGGCCGCCGGCGACGCCGCGGCGCTCGCGGCGGCGGAGTGCGGCGGCAGCGTGGAGGCACCCGCTGCGGCCTCCCGGGGTCTGCGAGAGGAGGAGGAGGAGGAGGAGCAGGAGGAGGAGCAGGAGGAGGAGGAGGAGGAGGAGGCGGATGAGGAGGAGGTGGAGGAGGAGGAGGAGGAGGAGCAGGAGGGGGATGAGGCGGAGGAGGAGGGCAAAGCGCCGCTCCGGCATCCCCTGTGTTGCTTACTTGCGAGGGGGTCTCGAGCGAAGAGGCCGTGCGCATTCGCGAGTGGCAGCAACCTGGCTCTGAGGGACCCCCTGGTCGTGCGGGCTTCTCGTCGGGGGGGGGATCCCTTGAGGAGGAGGAGGAGGAGGAGGAGGGGGGAGGAGGAGGAGGAGGAGGAGGAGGAGAAGGCTCAGGAGGGGCGGCAGGGAGGCAGCGGCAGCATTCCCCAGCATTTGGCGGGCCTCTCGGAGGCTTCTCGTCGCCGCAGCTGTTGGCCCGCGCCGGCGAGACTGTCGGGATGGACCCTGGAGGGTCTGGGGAGCCGGGTAGTTATCTCCAGCGGAGTTGGTCCCAGTCCTAATTTTTTGGGGGCAACCACCCTCCACTGCCCAGTCAGGTTCCACCGCCCAGGGCCAAATTCAGTATACAATAATCACGCCGCAGGGAGGACATCTATATACAAGTGGCACGTGTGTGCCCAGGCTCATACGACAAAACTGAAGGGGCGTTTGAAGCAGGAGTGAAATCCAACAGCGAAGTCGCACTCGAGCGCAAGTGGGGTTGCCACACCTTGCGATATGTGTACCAGGGCCCCCCAGGAAGCCTCAGGAGGCCCGTCTTGGATACCAGAAGAGACTCCAGGAGGCCCCAGGATTGTGAGTGTTGTGTGTGTGTGTGTGATGTGTGTGATGTGTGTGCTCTGTGTTGTGCGTGCTTTTTGTGCGTTGTAGGTGTTGTGTGTGTTATGTTTGTCTAGCGTGTGATGTGTTGGGCGTGATTTGTGTCTCTGTGTGTGCATATAGTTCTGAGGCCCCAGGAGGCCCCAGGAGGCCCCAGGCGGCCTCAGGAGGCCCCAGGAGACCCCAGGAGGCTTCAGGAGGCCCCAAGAGGCTCCAGGAGGCCGCAGGAGGCCCCAGGAGGCCCCAGGAGGTTTCAGGAGACCCCCAGGAGGCTCCGAGGCGGGGTCTGGGGTACCAGAAGGTTCAGAAAGCCCCAGGAGGCCCCAGGAGGTTCCAGGAGACCCCCAGGAGGTTCCAAGGCGGGGTCTGGGGTACCAGAGGGTACGTCGGGGCTCGATTTGGGGAGGATATTTCAGGCGAAACCGCCATTCTCTGAGAATCGGGGTCAACATTATTGAAATGACCATGTGTTTTTGAAGGTGTCATGTTAAAATGTTGAAATTCCAATGTGTTTTTGGACCCTGACGTCACGATCTGCGTGAGGGGTGCCACCGATTTCCAGAATGTCGAGGATGTCCCTAGCGAAACGGCCAGACAAATCGCGAACGCGGCGCCCCGCGTACGCATTAATCGCCTCTGAGCTCTACTCCCTCGGAGAGGTGCGTATGATAATATGTATATATATTTATATGGATATGGTCGCCCCCCCCACCCCAAGATCATACATTATCTTCTCTAGTACCGCCATCGTCGATCGATCTCTCCTCCCCCCTCCCCCTCATCCTTCTCCTCCTCCTCCTTCTCCTTTTTCTCCTCCTCTTCCTCTTCCTCCTCCTGAAGGAATACCTGTGTACTTTTGGTTTGTCGTTTTTTCGTTGGTTTTGCAGGCCAGAAATGCTCGCGATGGCCTCCCTCCCAGCACCCTTCCATGCGCCTCAGACCAAGAAAACCAACACCATACAATGTGTCGCGCCTTCGATGCACGGAAACCCTGTGTTTCTTTGGGGGGGAGGTCTGAGAAGCAAGGAAACATTGTATTTTAACTATTGGTTTGAGTTTTGCAAGCCCCACGGGTGCTGGGAGGGAGGCCAGTGCGAGCGTCGGGGCTTGCAAAACCCAAACAAACCAAACCAACACAAACACAAGTACACAAGGTTTCCTTGCTTCTCAGACCCCCCCAAATCAAAAACATAATTCCTTGCACCGAGGGCGCCACACCCTGTGTATTATTACTTCCCTCCTCCTCATCCTTTCCGTTCCTCCTCCTCCTTGTTGCAGAGCCAGAAAACCAACCATACACAGTGTTTGGTGCCCTTGGTGCGAGGACACGCTGTGTATGTTTGTTTTGGTTTTTGATGCCGAGAAACATGGTTTATTTCTGGACAGTTTTTTTTGGGGGGGGGAAACCCAGATGCTGCCCGCGGCCTCCCCCCCAAGCACCTCCTCCTTCTCCCCCTTCCTCTTTCCCCCTCCTTCTCCTCCTTTCCTTTTCCTTTTCCTTGTTGTAAAGCAAGAAAACAAACCATACACAGTGTTTGGTGCCCTTGGTGCAAGGAAGCGCTGTGTGTGTGTGTTTGTTTTTTTTGGTAGTTTAGGATGCAAGGACACATGGTGTATGGTTGGTTATTCTCTCGCACAGGGTGTCTAGAGCTCCGACCACTTTATTCCGCGTCGCACAACCCCCCACCCACTCTCCGCGCCCCCAGCGCCAGAGTGGGACCCCCGCGCCGTGGCTCTCTGCCCCGAGCCCCCCCCCCCGCGTCCCCAGCGCCCCAGCGGGAGCCCCGCCCATTGCCCCCTCCGCCACGAACGCTTTATTCAGCGTCGCACCCACCCCTTCCGCGTCCCCGGCGCCAGAGTGGGACCCCCGCGCCGTGATTCTCTGTCCCGAGCCCCCCCGCGTCCCCAGCGCCCCAGCGGGAGCCCCGCCCACTGCCCCCTCCGCCACGAACGCTTTATTCCGCGTCGCACCCCCCCCCCGCGTCCCCAGCGCCAGAGTGGGACCCCCGCGCCGTGGCTCTCTGCCCCGCGCCCCCCCGCGTCCCCAGCCGCCCAGCGGGAACCC